GTTGGAGGAAGCATTTTTATAACTAGTTAGATGCAGAGGCGTCCTTTGACTAAACACTTTGTAATAACAGTTGTCCTTTCTCCTTTTAGAAAGTTGGGAGGTATGAGTAAGCTTTTCTTTGGAATATTGCCTGGTCTGTGTTTTTTACCTTCAGTTCCAAATAAAGCCCTTTTGTTCCCTACCCACTTTCCTAATTCATATGACACTCCTGTTTTACTGTCCTCATAATGTACTAATATACAAAATCCCAACCAAAATATTCCACAAATGGTGATTTGTCAAGTGCAAAGCAGGTACCTTGATGGCCACATCTACCAGCTATTTATACAGGAAGATGGTAAAATGAGGATTCCCTACTTTGGAGCAGAATACTTCATCAGTACCTATGTTTATTAGGTGTACCAGGTTTCTTAGCACTTGTCCATGGTTATCATGGTGATGATGTACACCACTCCAAAGTAGGGGATCATAATTCTACTAACTTCCAGTATAAATGTAAAGTGGATACCTCCTAACCTAGAACTTTGGTGTCTGGGTTCTTTTTTAAACGTTTAAAATTATTTTCATTATTATTATTAATAATATGATAGCAAACACAATGTTTTTCAGACCTTAAATACAGCTCTTCCTTTTAAAACCCTGGCTCATAGCGCAACTTGAAAAATACAGCCATAATAGGAAAGATTTCTAATGAAATAAAAAGCACAGAGCAAAACGCAGTACCAAAGAGCAGAGAAAGCCAATCATGTTATGAACTCACTGAGCCAGTGTAATCCAGACTTAGAGAAGAATCAACACTGCTCATAGCATTGATGTTAAGGAATTGTCTTTTTTTAAAGCTAGTGTTAATAGGATACACAACCTCCACACAGTTAATGGGAGAGGTTTGGTTCGTACTACCAAAGAAGAAACCCATTCCTAACTGAAAACAGGAATAATGGTGATAACTAAAATCTATGCTATAATCTAGGTACTTTTTTCTGTAGCGCGTGCGACGTTTTGAAGGTCATTGCCTGCCTTTTCCCTGGGTGGATTAAAATAACTAGTATTAAAATTAATTTAAATTCCGGTAGACCTGATGCTGTAAAGTGTGGGTAGCAAAGGGGACACAACTACAATCTTGTTGACAAAAGCAGAAAACTTGTAAACAGGCAATGTAGATTCTTGTAGCGAGTGTACATACAAAAACTGAACACAATAAACGAAGGGACAGGTCTGTAAAACAACTTGGGGGCCTATTCCATAATGCCCCTTTCTGACGAGACTTTTTTCCAGATTTTACAAGAAACATATGTGTGAACACATAGTCGCATGGAAAATACACTACATTTGCAATCTGCTGCAGGTGTCAAAAAAAAAGTTACCACGCCCAGTTGCATCTGCCTGCACAAGATGGCTTTTGTCCCATGTGATCTGGTTGCAGTGCGTTTTAAAAAGTAGTGTATGCACTACTTTTGGTGATGTGCCTTTTCAGGCCCATTCAAATTGAATGGCCTGAAATTGCACTGCACAGAACTGCATGTGAATCAAACAGTGTTCAACTCTCCGTATTTAAATGAGTCAGTAAAATCGCTGAAGGTGGAGTGTCCCTTTAATGGAACGGAAATCCATTCATCAAGACCACAATAGAAAATATTTACAAGGGACCCTTCTAGTTGATAGTTGATATTTCTTATTAGCCATGTTTTGATAGCTCCAAAACCCATGCTTCAAGAGGTAAGGGGTGGGGGGATATTGTAGACCCATTTGTGCCAACAAATGGTTTGTGGAATTTTGGAGATCCATTTAGATCAACAGAAGGGTTGGGTGTTGAAGACCCATTTAAGCTTTAATGCTCTTTTAATAAAAACAAAGCTTCTGTTTCCAAGTGGTTGTGTCAGTCTGAATGCACAATTGTACTTTGTGAATTATTCTGATAAAATTGGACAACACAATCAGGGAAAATACTGGAGTTCCCTTTGTGCTCTTACCGCCAGTGAGATGAAGACACACTGGACCCAAATAAACATTGTGGCAGAATTCCAGTGGACTTGGAGGCAGAACTGTTGGAACTACAGGGGAATGGTGGGTTAGATCGGCACAGGAGGAAGAAAGGGCAAGGAAATTGCCAGTAAATGCTGCTTGAACATTTCCTTATTGTTCAAGTTAAAAAGTAACTAAAGGCTAAATATAAAAAACAAATTGCAAACAGGCCGGCTCTTTATGGCAAAAGACACATGCAATGTCTCTTCTGCACTAAAATAATCTTACCTGCCTGTTCACAATCCTCTGTTAAACTAAACATATGTAAAGAACATACTGTCTGCCATTTTGGGAAGCCCCACCTAAGCCCTCATACTCCACACGTCACATGACCAACAGTGCAGATCAAAATATAAGGCCGCTTTCAAACTATGTTGTTCCATATGAGGTGTGCTACTGCATAGAAGTTAGCATATTTTCCACTAAAGCTGGAAAAATATTTTTAGGCTTTTCTTTCTGTTTTCACCTGGTGATCTGGCCAGTAACACACCTCCTATATTAGGCCTCATGCACACTGGATGTTATAAAATCGCCAAGAGCATTAGCTGTAGAATACCACATTAAAAACTCGAGTTTTGACATTTTTTTAGTGTTTTTGCATTAGTGTTTTTAGAAAAAAAACTATATTCCCACAAAAGCTTGAGGCTCAAAAAACACTCAAACGCTGGATAGCCAAGTTTTTAGTGTTTAACAGCATTAGAGGTTTTTTTTTTTTTTTTAAACTCCTCTTCAAAACGCAGTAGCTCTGGCAATTTTTCCCAGCCTGAAAACGCCCCTGCCAAGAAAACACTCATAAAAGCCTATGAGGGCAATTTACTAAAGCTGGTTCACTCAGAATCTGGTGTACTTGTGCATGATAGCCAATCGGCGTCTAACCTCAGTTTGTTCAATTAAGCTTTGGCAATAAAACCTGGAAGCTGATTGGTTCCTATGCAGAAATGCTCCTGATTTTCCACTCTCCAGCTTTAGTAAGTAAAGCTGTATGTGTGCATGAATACATGGGATAACATGCTGGGGAGTTTACTGGCTGTAGAGAAAAAAAAAAAACAAACACAAAAAAAACCTGACCCCCTAAAACAGCAGCTATAAAAACACCACTGTGCATGAGGCCTTAGAGCGCCCCCACTCTGAATGAATGAGCACAGGGGGCACTTTTGAATAACAGTATCGTCAGTCTGGGGGGGGGGGGGGGGGGGGGGGAGTGTTAGATGGACTAGCAGAAAAAAATTGACGCCAAATTCCAGCTAAGTAGTTACAGAAAACAAGTGTTTTTTCTTTTGGGATAAAGGTTTTACATAAATAAATGTTGATCATTGTAAGCACCCCTGATAGTGTTAAAGCGAAGTTCCACTCAAAAGCAGAAGCTCCGCTTATTTGCCTCCTCCCCTCTTCCACTGCCATATTTGGCACCTTTTGGGGGGAAAGGGGAGCGGGTACCTGGTTTTGACAACGGCTGCGGTGAAGTGAGCCGGACGTTCGGCCCCCTCATTCCTCCTGCAGTCTCCCGGGGACTTTCACAGGTCCCAGAAGACTGCAAGACCAATCAGGAGGCGCAGCGCGACTCCCGCATGCTCAGTGGGCACCAGGCTGAGACCAGGCTAACTACTGCACTTAGCTGTTGCCTCCTGTTCTTTTCTCTTTTGTCACTGTATCCCAATACCCAGACACTGCACCTTTCTGCCAGCTAGCAACTCTGCCACTGCATAGAATACAGCTCCTCGTCAACTTTTGAAAGACATGCAGAGAGGAGGAGAGGCAGAGCCTGGAGTGTCTGGGCTCTCTGTCTACCTTCCTTCTCTACTGACATCACCTCCTCCTAAGTGAAGTCTGTAGAGGCCAACCAGTCTCCCAGCCTCTGACAGCACTGTGCAAATCGTGTACGTTTCCAGGGGAAGAAAATTCAAAGGGTATAGAGAAGAGGGAAGCCAAACACTTAACCTACTTACCAACTCCATTACTATGGATCCCTTCCAATGTGGCAGCCCATTTACTAAAAGCCCAATATCAGTATTTATTTTAAATATAACACCACTATTTATCACTCCTCCATCCTAAACTAATGAAACTTGCATATTATTTTGAAAATGCAAATTCTATATCAGCAAATGGAGAAACAAACTGTATTCTTCTGTTACAGGTATAGGATAATCTGTGTAGTAATCATCAAAACACCTGGCCAAGAGTTAATAGGGACAGTCAATAGCCCCTATATATCTTTTGATGACGAAACGCATAGGGTGGAGCCTCCCTCCGACGTCATGCTGTCGGCCATCTTGGAAGTGGTCTATTTGAATTAACTGTTCTACAGCTTGTAAGTAGGATTTTACTTGAAAATAAAGGAGTTTTTGATATGTATTGCATTATAAGAGGCATGTTTTTTCTTTCATGATCTTATTTGACACTGCATTTTGAGTTCACATTTTGGGTCTGGAGGTTTGGAAGATCTCTGTTCCGGGTATGGCATGGAGAGCCTGCTAGTGTTTTACATCACAATGCTGGTTGGGACCCCCTATAATTAAGGGGTCTCCATTTCTGGTTTATTGAAGTTGGAAAAGCTACTTATTATTCTGGAGGGGATTTCTATTGACAATCCATTGCTGTATTTGAGGATATACCATACTGCTCATGTTGACCGACCTTTTGTGCAGTAAGAGGCCAATTTGTTTGGGTGTATGGCGATAGCTTTTGGATGGAATCTTTCCTCTTATGCACCTACTTCTATCCATTTGGGAATCTATATGGACTTTATCACATTTAAAGTGCTATAAGACCATTGTATAATTAGCGCTGCATTTATTTATCTATATCACATTATTATTGCCTTCAAATGTGCGAGCTGCTTTTTTTTTATTCATTTTTGCTGTTTAGATTCTGAGTGCAAGTGGTTGTTTACAGTAGTCATATAATATTATATATGAAACATACGCTGCTTTTTTTTTTAGCATTACCCATGCTGGGATGTGTAACTGCAATTTTACCTGTGTGTGAATCCAATGAGCAGGCGGATGTAAGTTATACTTCACTGCAAGCTCCAGTACCCCTTCTTTTTCCAGAAGTCCAGGACTTGAGCAAATGGAGAACCCTCCAACTTTAGGAACTCCAGGAATAAAGAAATCTACCCTGTAAAACAAAACAAAATACATTCTAATTTTAATCTTTCCTAATTTAGAAAACCTGTAGAGTTTATATATCTTACTATAAACCAAATACTGTTACATTCGCGCTGCAAAGTTATTAAGCTGTGCAAACTGAATGTATACTACAACCTGCCTTGTTCACAACTACATACAGTACAGTAGATGGTTCTTAGAACTTGTGCCCTGCCTATTCACAGTGTTAGAGTCAGGCCTATAAAAAATAAAGATGCTAGCAAGTATGTGGATGTACAAGCTGATGTACTAAATGAGGGGGAAGAAAAAAAAAAAAAGGATTCCATGTGGTTGCCATCACTTTGAGCAAAAATTTAATTATTTGTTGCTGCTTGTCATGCATCATCCCATTGGAAATCTGAATAACCAAGTGGACTTCGCTGCCTGGATGAAAAACAACTGACCTGACATACCAAAATATTAACTTTATACTTAAAGTGAACCTTACAGTAGCAATACAAATATGAATGAATACATTACTGATACACTGGAAAGTAGAGTAACTTGCATTAATAAATAATAGTCATTAGCCCCTTCACGCCGGCGCCTCCCGGCACCTTATGGGGTTTCTGATGGCAGAAGTCGGGGTGTGGTTTAGGGTCATGATCAGTCACATGATCAGAAAGGTCCCAATTGCAAGGAGAGATCGAGACCTTGCTGTGGGACGCCGACACATGTGCTGGGAGCGTGCAGGGCGTCTGCTCCCAGCACGTTTGTTTACAAACGGTACACAAATATGCGGCCGCTCGGCGTCAAGGCCCAGCCACCGAGAGGCAACATATTTGTGTGCTGTCAGCATGAAGAGGTTGAGCTTCAGTCAAGTGACTTTGGTCCCTTTCACATGGGCCCGACTCCACTTGACTCGGTCTGCCCAGCAGTGGATCTGTCTGCTGATCCCTTGCTGAGCAGAGCAAAGTGGGTGGATTACAGGTCCATGTCCGCTCCGTCTATGCAGAGCAGACATGAACACAGCCCACACCCAACTGCTCTCTGATCCGATCCACTAGACAGAAGGATCAGGTCAGATTGCAGGTAGGAGGGTGTAAATAGTAACATTCACCGCTCCATAAAAGTGAATGGAAAGTCTGATCGGGTCCCCTTGAAAAACGGACAGGCAGACCAGATTGCAAGGATCGTGTAAAGAGGCCTTAGTCTAGGCTGCAATGAGGTCATCAGTCTGCTGCAGGATTACCTTCATTCCAGCATCCCCAGTGATAAAACTGCAACAATGTAACTTTGGAGTAAGATGCAAGGTGTGAGACTGCAGCAGAGGGCTAATCTGTGTCAAGCATTTGTGAACACAGCCAAGAACTGCACTAGCACTGAGATTTGCATAATTGTAAGGCTACAAGTAAACAACTTTCTCATTTGAGTCTTTGAAGAAAAGGGGCACCTGCGCAGTACACTGCAACCCACTGGGTTACTGAAGAGGATAAAAATGTAGACAGTCCTTGTATAAGCCAAAATGGCCACAGAAGTCAAAAGCCGATCTGAAGTCTATTAAGGTGAATGATAGATGGTAGGTGGAGGAGTGTGAAGAGGATGTTAGGCTAATCGTTTATCTTTTTAAAACAAACGGGTAGCAGATAATACTATTCATTTTTTAGTATATTAAAGTGAATCTAAAGCTAAACTCTCATATGAAATTAAACATGGTAACATAATTTCAAATTATGTTTTCAATCATTTTAAATGTGCAACTTTTATTAAAGCACAAGCTCATGAAATAAAAAAAAACAAAAACAAAAAACCCTTCCCAAATACATGCATGCTTACATTCGCTGGTATTCGCTGTATTGTCTACTGTCCAGCTGGAAAGTACTGGGCTGCCTACACGCCAGCGTCCCATAGAGTTGAATGGGAGGTTTCTGCTGCAGTAAGGGTTCGTCCCATTCAAATAAATATTTAACATATTTAGGTGGTTAGGGAGGGAGCCTTGGATATTGTTATCACTTTCATGAACTTGTCCTTTCAAAAAAAAAAAAAAAAATACCTGGGGTTCCTGGCATGAAGCTCCATATTGATGGAACTTCCTGTCATGGGGTTACAACTGTCTCCAAGTCACACGAGCCCTTATCTGAGACTACATGTTGTGTCGAAACACATTGCACATGCATGATCCACTAACAGGAAATCAGTCCAGAGCAATGATGTGCAGATGACAGGGAAATACGTGCATATAGACGGGAAGTGAATGAAAAAGAATGTGAAAAATCAGCAGCACTGCGAATGTCAGATCGAGGGCAGTAATTCTAGCACTATACCGGTTTAAAAGGCATGCGCAATTTTAAAGCATGTCATATTTGGTATCCAATTACTCAGTGTAACATCATATTTTATCAAACAATTGGGCAATATATTGTGTTTGCGCATTAACATTCTAAAAAATGTATTGTGTTCAAAAAAATATGCGTTTGAAAAATTGTTACTCAAATACTGTGTGACATTAAAAATTTCAACACCCACTGTTTTATTCTCTAGGGTCTCCGATTTACAAAAATATAATGTTTGGTGGTTCAAAGTAATTTTCTAGCAAACAAAAATGTGATTTTTTTTTTTCAAAAAAGGCTTGGTCTTCAAGTGGTTAGAAAAGTGGGTGGTGTATGGCATAGGCTTCTAATGTTGGCCCTGAAATGCCAGGATAGTAGAACCCCCCCCCCCACGAGCCCTTTTTGGAAAGTAGGCACTCCAAGGTATTTGCTAAGGGGCATGGTGAGTATTTTGCAGATCTCATTCATTTTCTAAAAACTTGTGGCAACAAAGAAAGAAAACACAAAACGTAGTTTTTCTTTTTTTTTTTCGTTTTCAAAACCTTGTGACAAAATTTATATCTGAAAAATACCCAACATGCCTCTTATCAAATTCCTTGGGTTGTCTACTTTCCAAAAAGGGGTAATTTGGGGGGGGATATGTTTGTACTATGCTGGCATTTTAGGGCCTCCAATACTATGATAGGTAGTGAGGAAGTGATATGAGGAAATATGCTCTTTGAAATCCTGGAGGTGGTCATTGGATTTTGGGGCCTGTATGTAGCTAGGCTTCCAAAAAGTCTCTCACATGTGGTATCCCCCTACTCAGGAGAAGTAGCAGAATGTGTTTTGGGGTGTTATTCCACATATACCCATAGCATGTGCGAGAAATATTTCATTTAAATTACAACTTTGTGTAAAAAAAAAAAAAAAAAAAAAAAAAGTGTTTTGTCATTTTCCAAAAAATTGTGGCAAAAAATAAAATGTTCCATGGACTCAACATGCCTTTCAGCAAATTCCTTAGGGTGTCTACTTTCCAAAAAGGGGTAATTTGGGGAGTTGATGTACTAACTTGGCATTTTAGCACCTCAAGAAATGTGATAGGCAGTCAGAAAGTAAAAGGTGAGTAAATTCCATTATATCTACCATAGTTTGTAGATGCTATAACTTTCACACAACAAATAAATATATATCTTTGGGGATTTTTTTTTTTTTTACCAAATACATGTGACAGGATACATTTTGGCCTAAAGTTATGAGTTTCCTGGATATTTTTTATAACCAAAAGAAGAAAATATTTTTTTACCAAAATGTTCAGTCTTTTTCCGTTTATATTACAAAAAAAAAACCCAGTGATGATCAAATACCACCAAAAGAAAGATCTACTTGTGTGAAAAAAAGTATATAAATTTAGTTTAGGTACAGCATCGCATGACCGTGCAATTACCAGTTGGAAATAGCGCAGTGCCAAATCGAATTAAATGGCCTGGTCATTAAGGGGGGTAAAATCTTCTGGAAGGCAAGTGGTTAATAAAACAAGGCAAGGAAAATGTATAAGTAGACTATGGCGACTCAGCAGAATAGGTTTTAAGCGTTACCAGCTGTTCTGTCAACTAATGCTGCGCCAAAATATGCACGCACAATTAATTAGGGAGTGTTAAGTGCAAAAAGTCATAAACAATCAATTTTCAGTTTTCGTTGGTGTGGAGCTGTCAGAACCATAAACGATGACTGGCTACTATGGATTATCATGCAGTACTTTGCTCTATTAATAAACCATAGGTGGAAATGTAATTCATGCAATTTCAATATACTATGTTAGATTGTTCTGCAAACCAGCATTTGTATTGTATGAATTGATAAATCCTATTTTTGGGAAATCAGCATATGCAGCCTATGCCCATTTAACATTTCTGACTCCAGTACACCAACTGGAAATTAACCTGAACTTTCAATGGCATAGAAAGCCAGGCCTAAATCCAAAAAAGTCAACACATTCCTAATATAATAAAAAAAAAACAAAGCACACCATAAAATTTTATTTTACAGCTGGATTTAAGCTAGCTACATTTACTTTAATTGTATGTTAATGAGAAACATGTGGTGCATACATCGATTTACAATCTCAAATACAATGACGCAAAACAGGCTTTTCAAACGCCTTGGCAAGAGTAAAACAAAAAAATATAGAAATAAATAGAAAAGTTGTTTTCTTTATTTAACAAAAACAATGATCATAAAATTTTACAGAATCGTTTAAAAAGAAACAGAACGCAATCTTACAATTCACGGTAAGTTCTATAAATAGCCGTACTTACATGAAGGCATTGTTTTTCTTAATTAATTGAATCTACAGGCTCATTATCAGGCCTGACTCCGGAAAGTCCTTGGATCTGATCATTTTCATGACCCAAATTAGAAAATTAGGTGGATTTTTCTAATCTTTTTGTAATACTTTCTTTTTCCACGTGTGGATATGGTTTAAAACGGTTTGGTCTACATTAAGATTTAAAGAACAGCATATCTTGGAAAGCCAGCTAGAGATTTGTAGTGCTATTATTAATATTGCTGACAGCTCTCTACATGCGAACAGATTGTTTTGGTCATGATTTGTAGCACTAGACACTAGCGCCCTCTAGCGTTTATTCATTTCAACAGATGTTTCTCAACCTTTTCTCAATCAAGGCACCCTTTAAAATTATTTTCGAGGCACCCCTAACAG